GAAACTTTTGTTGGAGTGTAGAGGAAAACTCGTGAACATTTTATTTGCCCGGTTCACACGAGCCCATTTTGACGGCAGTCTCTGACGTACAGTATAGCCATTGATGGAGTCACGAAAACGATGGTAAACAAACAAGGATGATAACTTTCGCTCCGCCTTCTTCCTCGCAACTATTATTTTAGGGCCAATTGCAAGAACGGTTATGGGGTGTACGACGCCATTTACGATGACCTTCTTGCCCTGGTTTTTTTCAGCAATATCGCCTTTAACACATGGAATTCTGCACTTTTCGAAGCTTTGGAGGAGTCTCGAAACAAGGTTCCTCTTCCACCACCTCACAATATAAAGGAAGAATGAATACTGAGAATGGAGTAACGAACAATCTCATATGAGAGATCGAGAATGAAATAACACAATCACATTACAACATAGGCTACTTTACCACAAATTTGGAGAGTAAGCCCGTCAATGCTGCTGCACTCGTTCGCCGATCCTATGGTGGAGACGAAAGAAGTCTAATTAAACCAAGTCAACCCACTTCGAGTCGAAAATTCGTCCTTCGCCGCGATTTAATTAGACTTCGGGTAAGTTCCTACACGGTCGGTCTGAAGATAAGTGAGCATGAACTGACTGTGAGTTTGTGAGTGTGCGGGGCAAGAGTTATATAGGAAAGATATTGAACTCCTCTTAAAACCTAATATTTTCTTCGTGGCCTCCGATTGACACGCCATCTATGAAAGGTGCATCATGATAAAGAACATTTTGGTATTACATGGATAGCTATTACAAAAAGAAAATGTTTGTAAATAGAGGATGACTACAGTACTGTATTTCATCGTCTTTTCACTTGTGAGTTGATATCAAAGAAAACCGTAAATAACAAAATAACATCAAACAATAGATAATATACATATATATTTTTCATATACTGTATAATTATACTTACTTCAAAAGCACCTTTACTTTTATTCATATTGGTATACAGAGAGTAATATCATTATAACAACTACAGTATTTAAGCTTTATCTTATATTTAGATTTTTCAATAGCATTTTTAATTTGCATTTTCTTTAATACTCACTCATCTGGATTAAAGGGAGCCATATTAGGAACCAAGACACGGATATATGGAATTAAGAAACGAATATCTGAAACAAAGAAGTGGATATCTGAAACCAAGGAACGAATATGTGGAACCAAAAACGGATATCTGGAACTAAAAACGGATATCCGGAATTAAAAACGGATAACTGGAACCAAAAAATAGATATCTGGAAGAAAGAATCGGATATCTGGAACTAAGAAACGGATATCTGGAACTGAATTTTTTTTATCTCCCTAAATCCAGTGCCTTTGGTGACAACTCTTGGCGTTGGTCATTAGCTTTTCAGAAAGGTTCCTACTTGTGACCTTTAGTCGAGCGTCTCCTGATCTATGACTGTTGGTTGACTGACCTTTGGCAGGGCGAGGTGGTGAGCGGTGACACCTTCCCCACTCCTGAAAGAATAATCACTTCTGGACATGATAAGCGGGAGACCTTAATTAGAGATTCACAGTCCCGTCTTTCGTGTGTGTGTGTGTGTGTGTAATAATAATAATAATAATAATAATAATAATAATAATAATAATAATAATAATAATAATAATAATAATAATAATAATAATAATAATAATAATAATAATAATAATGGTTTATTGAAAATTACAGCAGCCATGAACTGAAAATATATAACATACATAAATGGTAGTACAAATTAACGTAAAGTGACACGTGGGAAAGTGTCGTTTAATCAGTGTGTTCTGGAGGACGTTGTAATCAGAAACCAAGTTCTTGAAATTGGTGTTAATGTTAGAGTTGTCGACTTGTTTCCAACTAGTCATGATATCTTTCAAGGCATCGTTGATAAAGCTTAGGAAGCAGAGCGGTCCAATTTTAGTGCCTTTGGGAGGGAGACCACCACCGTCTCTTGGAATTTGTGTGAATGATGCAAACTTTGTCAGCAACCTTCGTGACAAACTAATGCAGCGCATTAAACCCCTCAGAACTCTTGTTGGCAAGGGCTATGGAATTAACATCACCTATGCTCGTACTTTCTATCTTCACTTCATTCGTTCTGTAGTTGACTATCATGCTCTCCATCTTGTGACTATTCCGCCTAAACAACTCAACAGCCTTGAGGTAGTGCAAAATGAAGCCATGCGCATCATCCTAGGTTGCCCAAAATCAACCAGAATTGTAAACATGAGGAAAGAGCTCGGACTGCCCTCCCTATCTGAGGGGATAGCCCTACTTAATACCATGTTTTGTGTCAAAGTTTTGAAGAACAATGGTTCTCAAACTACAACTCAAACTGAGTTGATGTTCTATCTAAGTAATCCCGACCATCTCGCCAACCTTCCACAAAAGACTCTCTTTGGGGCGTGGCTTCATAAAAGTGTTGCAGATCTCTTGAAACTGAATGTCCCAATCACCCCAGATGAACCTATTAATGCCATTCCTCCTTGGCTGGACATATCAGTTCCTATTAATTACACTCCTGTTGGTAGTAAGCAAATGTTAAACACCGATGTGGTGAGATGTGTCACACTAGAAACTATTAACAGACACATAGAGAGTATTAAATCAAGTGAATGTTATGCTTTTACTGATGGTTCTGTGCAGACAAACACAGGTAGAACAGGCTGTGCAATTGTAATATATAAAGAAAAAGAGATGATAGTGTCAAACAAACAAAGGCTGAACAACTGGGCCAGCACAACACAAACTGAACTAACTGGAATCTACTTAGCCACAGACTACCTCAAAGAAAATGGAGGTGGGGTGATATTCTGTGACTCTCAAAGTGCTTTGAAATCAATGAACAGCCCGTCAGGCTCTATGTCTAAAGTTGCATGTGATATTAAAAGGAATGTGATAACTGCCAATGAGAACAACTTTCGTATCGAATTTGTGTGGATTCCGTCCCATGTTGGAATCAGGTATCATGACCGTGCTGATAGACTGGCCAATGAGGCATGTAAGAAAGAAAATGTTGACCGTGACCTTGGTCTGTCCAATGCTGTAATTAAAAACATTCAAGTCAGAATCATGAACTCTGATCTAGAAGAAGTGAGAAATGCAGAGAGACCTGACAGTTGTAGCATTAGTAAATATGACAAATTTTGTAACAAGAGGTACCGGTATGGCCAGCATAAGGACAGAACCAGACAATGTGATGTAGTCGTGGCCAGAATTAGGCTAGGATACAGACACATCTGTCAAGTTAGCAACGCTGTACCCATACCGGAACACTCAGCATGTAAACTTTGTGATAAACCTTTAAAGCATGCACTTGAACACTATATTATTGAATGTGACACTGCCAAAGACTTCAGGCCACCTGACTTATTGTATCTTGAACTATGTAATTACTTCATTGAATCAGGTGTGCTTGAGGACATTCTTGCTGTTTATCCCAAATTTGCTAACCCACACTGATTAGTCTTCAATTAGAATATGACTCCAATGTATGTGATCCACTGACCTATATATGCTGCTGGTGAATGTGATGTATTTCCTTCTTTGTGTACGAACCTCTGTCCTGCGTGGCAGTGAACAGTGGCATTACCCACATGAATCTGACCTATATATCAATGAATATGATGCATTCCTTGTGTACGAACCTCTGTCCTGTATGGCAGTGAAAAGTGACATTACCCACATGAATCTGACCGACGTATATGTATGTATGTGTGCGTGTGTGTATGTATATGTACATGTATGTGTATGTATATATGTACATGTATGTATATGTGTGTGTGTGTGTGTTTACATATATGTATATGTACTGTCAATGAATATGATGCATCTCTTTGTGTACGAACCTCTGTCCTGCATGGCAGTGAACAGTGACATTACCCATATGAATCTGACCTCTATACATTTATAGTTGTTAATGAATATGATGTATTTCTTTGTGTATGAACCTCTGTCCTGCGTGGCAGTGAGAAGTGATACCACCCTCAGTGTCAAGACCTGACTGAATTACTCAGAATAGGCAAACTGTACTACAAGCTCTGCCAATAAATTTGTTAAACTAAACTAACGTCAACAGGTGAGGACTGAAAGGTAGAGACAATCGCTTGGAAGTATACAGTTTAGCATCGGTCGCTGAAGAAATCTATGAGTCATGCAATGAGAATTTTCCAAAACCCAAGGTCGGTGACTTTGTTGATAACTGTGTTTGACTAAGTCGAATGCTTGGGCGAAGTCTCTGAAGGTGAGACCCATGAATGTCTTATGCTTCTTTAATGTAGGTTGCGGTAGATGAAAGTATAAAACACTAAAAATAGAAAAACGAGTATGTAAATAAAAATCATGGTAATAAGAAAATAATCTTCCCTTGAAAATTATTACGTGCAGCATGGGCCACAAATTTGACAAAGATGAAAAGAAGCGATAATGGAATTCAACCGTGATCCCGTGCAGTATTATGAAGCTGTGTTACAAAATTTCACTTCAAACCACTTAGCCCTTCTCAAAGTGAGGAACAAGAGCAGAATTTCACACGGACGGACAGACGTACTGGGGCTTCACTAATATTCTTTCATTTAACTACGATGGAATTGCAAAACAAACAAACTACACAAGTGTCTAATGTATAAATTTAATACATTAGAGATCGGAATGCATAATAATTATATAAATGAAACATGGCACTTCGTTACTTAAGTCTAGTAAATCTAAAGTATAATGAACGCCTTATATAGAATATGAAGGCAATCCGTTATATAGTTTTCGAGATATTCAATGGAAAAACCAAAGTTGAGTGTAGCGCACCAACACCAAACAACAACGTATAAGGCAATATCATAACGAAAGGACGAGTGGTAAACAAATCACAATCATAAAATCTTGCTCAAATTTTAGATATAGCAAGTACTACACATAAGAGAACTTGGTAACTGTCTTATATCAAGCGTGTTGGCTCGTATATAAGGGCGAGCGTGCTGGTTGATACATGGGTGGCAGGTCGGCTTCGGTATATCGCCAGGTAGGTGCTCGTATTGCTCTCTCTATCACTAACATCTAGCTCTTCCTGCCATTCAGTAGTGTCGAGGAAGCATTTATTTATTAAGAATGATATCGTGTGGTGTGCAAGTGGTGATTCTACAGTTTTTAGTGGTGGCGGTAGCAAGTTTAGTGGTGATACTAGTGGTGGTGGTAGTAAGTTTAGTGGTGATATTAGTGGTGGTGGTAGCAAATTTAGTGGTGATACGAATGGTGGTGGTAGGAAGTTTAGTGGTGATACGAATGGTGGTGGTAGCAAGTTTAGTGGTGATATTAGTGGTGGTGGTAGCAAGTTTAGTGGTGATACGAATGGTGATGGCAGCAAGGTTAGTGGCGATACTAGTGGTGGTGGTAGCAAGTTTAGTGGTGATATTAGTGGTGGTGGTAGCAAGTTTAGTGGTGATACGAGTGGTGGTGGTAGCAAGTTTAGTGGTGATACAGATGGTGGTGGTAGCAAGGTTAGTGGTGATACAATGGTGGTGGTAGCAAGTTTAGTGGTGCAAGTTTAGTGGCGATACTAGTGGTGGTGGTAGCAAATTTAGTGGTGATACGAATGGTGGTGGTAGCAAGTTTAGTGGTGATACTAGTGGTGGTGGTAGCAAGTTTAGTGGTGATACGAATGGTGGTGGTAGCAAGTTTAGTGGCGATACTAGTGGTGGTGGTAGCAAGTTTAGTGGTGATATTAGTGGTGGCGGTAGGAAGGTTAGTGGTAATATTAGTGGTGGTGGTAGCAAGCTTAGTGGTGATACAAGTGGTGTTAATAGTAGTGGTGGTACATGTCACGTCATACCATGGCAAATGGGGACAACTTTTTGTTTTTATTACAATAAATTATGAAAATCTAGTTCATGTAAAGTTACCAAAGATGCTATTCAATTATAACTAACTTGAATAATGCTTGTCTTCATGGTCGAAATTTATTTTATTTTACATTAAGAAAAAAAATCTATGGCAAATGTTCCAAATACTCACATTCCACCAAGCTCGGAACACACTTGGAAGTGACAAACCATCGGTGTATCTGACAACATATCTGATAGTCTCACTGTGATAGTCCAAACCCTAAAGATAATATCCATTGATTCCTGATTTCTCATAACAATATTACCATAAACTATAACAAGTAGTGTTGTGTTCGTCGTCACAAATCCATCACACTCTAATAACAAGACTAATGTTCCCTCACCACGCACGGCAAGAGTTACTCGGACACGCAGGAATAGTGACTCAAGGTGGTGCTATAAAACTCCTAACTCACGTTATAATCAGTGGAATAGTGTAGTTCATGCATGTTTTTGTTTTATTCGTATATTAATTCATTCGTGTATTTTGTGGGTTTATAAGATTTATTACTAACAGATTCATATGCCTTGCGTGTTAATAATTTCTAGGCTAAACACATTCAGGTATTTCATCAATTTGTAGTTATACTTCTGTCCTGTGTTGGATGTTTTATTAGTTGTGTGTGTGTGTGTGTGTGTGTGTGTGTGTGTGTGTGTGTGTCTTAGTACTGGGGACAATAAAAAACTTCTCCAATATCTTTAAGTTCTCTATTCTGGAGGGGAAGGGAGGGGAAGAAGTGCCCCAGTGCCCCCCCCCCTCCCAATTACTACTACTCTCTCTCTCTCTCTCTCTCTCTCTCTCAACCCCCTTCCTGGCAGGTGGCTGATGATACAATCAAGGTGTCATTGATTATCATTATGTGTCGAGAGCGTGGGGAGTCAGACGCTCCTGTATTTATATTCTGTCTAGTGGTGTATCATTGAGGTGCTGATTATGCTAATAGTTCCTCCACTGGTAAAACGCAGCACACACACACACACACACACACACATACGTTCCCACATGGATAAACATGCATACACACATACAGTAGGTATACACACGAATGAACAGAAATACACATTAATACGACATTAATTCTTCATCATCTTGAGTCACGTAAATACAATACAGTACAGTATATAAAACCAAACATGGCATTTTCTTATTATATTTGCCTAATAAGATCACGATAGTCTTTTCTTCCTATTTACAGACTCTGTGTTAGGTGAGGGGAGGAGGCAGAAATGTTTGTGCCTGCTGTTGTTTCCTGCTACTGGCTCCCTATGATGGGCTTGTACCTGCTGCTGATGATGATGATAGCTACACCTTCTCTCGCCTCCTCAAACTCAGCTAGAACTGGAGAGACAACAATCAGAGGAGACAACGACTTTGCCATTTTTGGTCTACCACCGGCACCTGCCTGGCAACTTACGGGTGGTGACACAGAGACCCTAGTGCAGGTGTTAGTGCCACTAGATAAACAACCAACACCAGTACCACCACACCCACAGATAGCAACACCAGTACCACCACACCCACAGACAGCAACATCAGTACCATCACACCCACAGACAGCAACACCAGTACCATCACACCCACAGATAGCAACACCAGTACCACCACACCCACAGACAGGAACACCAGTACCATCACACCCACAGATAGCAACATCAGTACCATCACACCCACAGACAGCAACACCAGTACCATCACACCCACAGACAGCAACACCAGTACCATCACACCCACAGGCGGCAACACCAGTACCACCACACCCACAGTTATCAATAATACCACCATACACACATTCAGCATCGCCTGAAGGAATCAGAGAAATGGATACAGCTGTACAAGAAGTGATATTTGGGCTTGATGAGGTTTCTCAGGTCAGAGCAAACACCCCACCGTCAGTAGCAAGGCAGAAGAGAGACAGTTGGTGGTGGCCGAATGAAGGAAAGATGGATGAGGTTGAGAAAGAGGAGGATGAGACTCTAACCCGATTGCTGACGACGGTGGTAAGGCAGGAACTGGAGAACTGTGCTCTGGTGGTAGCCTACGACCTAGCCTACCACCATTCTCGTCTCCTAGACCATCTCCTTCACAGTTTACCCAACTCCAGGCAGGTGAGGCAAGGCACACCGCGTATTATAGGTTTGTACCATAAGAAAACCTCATTGTTGGAGAAAGACGGATAGGAAGGTTCAACAGATGCAACTTCCTTTAACTTGGTAGATGGGAACGCCTGGCGCTATTGGCTGCTCGTGCTGACGCTGTTGTCAGAATACGAACTCATGCTCGCACAATAAAAAGAGTGCCAGAAACCGAACGGCAGTGTTCGTCTGGCGTTGGGTCCATAAGCGTGTTATTATAAAATTAAATGGGAACGCACGACGGTGTTACTACGCATGCTGGTGCTATAGTATATGCCAAAGGCCTCAGTGTTGAATATACACGAGGTGTAATCAATCTTCTTATAGTGTCAAGCAACATAAAATAAATATTTCAACAAAAACACACAAAAGAAAATAAGATCCAATTTATAGATTTCTCCGTATAGCTGCAGAGTAGTTATACTGTCATAGCATGTGGCATGTTGTATAATTCATACACACACACACACACATATATATATATATATATATATATATATATATATATATATATATATATATATATATATATATATATATATATATTTCATTAGCCCAATAAAGCACGCGGACTTCTGCATATATATTGTTGTTAGTGTTGTCGACCTCTCAAGATACTGTAAATTAGTAATAATTATCAATATATTTAAATTTTTAAGAAATAATTTTTATTTTTAAGAAATATGGCGTTCAAGATAGTAATAGTAATAACAGTAACAATAACACCTATAATAAAAATAAAAGAACTCCGATGATCATGTCAGCTCGGATGAAACAACCAAACAGCAACAATCACAAACCATAATTTAGCAAAGGTTTGGAAACACGCACAAATATTTGCCAATATAATTATGTGGAGCCGTGAAGCCTTACAGGAATGTTGACTTTATCATTACTTTTGTGTTACTCACCGTGAACTGAGGATAATAAGTACTTATTATAGCTTCTTGAGAGGGTCTGTGCACTTGTTGAACCACATTCATTTAGGAGTGAGGTAAGTTTAGTATACAAACAGCTCGATAGATACTGTATCATAATGTATAACTGCGCTTCAACACAAAGGTTTATAAGCGCCCTTGTTAGGTTAGTTTATACTCTAGTCATCAACTGTAGTTTACTGACTCTATGGCTAAGAAATCGAAACGTGAAACATATAACAATTTTAGGGATTTGAATAAAAAGCCTTTGAACAGGTGTAGACCCAAAGAGAAGGACATGGCAAAACTACAGACTCTTGAACTGTTACGTAAATGTTAAATGTGTCTTCTGAGAGGATGACATTATTTAAGGCTATTCAAAAGTCGATTATTCGCGGTGTTTTCCCTTCAGAAGAGATAAACACTAATATGACCTCCAGAAATAATACCAGGGAACATTTGGAACCACAGTAACCAATATAAAGGTGTAAGGCCGCCAGCTTAATATAAACGACAACTTCTCCGACCATAGACAGTTCAAATTCTTCAGTGTAAATATTTCTTCACTTTGATAGAGGGAAAACTACCTTTAAGGGTCCTCACAGTTACTATTAATGCATCAACATGTATAAGCTTTTTCAGCTCCTAACAATATTCAGGGTCGTCCTCTCAATGTACACGTACCTGAAGGCTTTATTACTAGGTAGTTAATCAATATTGATATTTCACATAGTAATTCCTAGGTAATTTAATTATGTTTACAGAATATTCATTGTCCCATGTTAAATCCACTGCTTTATCACAATTAAGATGAACTTATTAACTTAACATGTTGGGAGGTGTTGAGTTCAGTGCTTTGACAAACTTTTAAACCTTCTGCTCTTTTCTCAGTCAATTAGATACGTGGAGGACCACCAACTACCTTAATTGCTCGTTAATATTTGTTTCTATCAATTTGATCTTCAATGTATATAAAAGATCGATTTCCAGGCGTGAAAAAATTCTGATCTCCACCATTGTCCAGACCTTAAAATATTCTAAGAACTTTTTAGGGGCTCGGATAGTGCCTAGCTGTAACACCGCGAGCACTCGAAAAAACTAAAATATTCGTAATGTCCATCCCGCAGGAGAATAACGCGCATAATTACCCCTCTCAACTAAGGCCTTTATTACAGTAAGAACAGTCTGGGGATCCCTAAGTTGTAAAGAGCACTGTCATGTCCTCCGAGACTTGATCACTTAAAGAAAATTTTTTAAACCTTTGTAAGAGTGTGTACACTGCTCAGCCTCCCGGAGAATATTCACAGGTTATCACTATAAAGTACATTCAAAAGCAAAAGAAACTTCACCATGAGTAGCAATAAACGCCTTTTTACCGCCCTTTCTCTTCCTCCCTTCCCTTGATGGCAGCAGGTGGTGCAAGTAAAGGGCATGGAGGACCTGCTGGGTATGGTGTGGGTATCTCCACTGTGTCGTGGCTACCTCCTCCTCCTCCACGACCCTGTCCCACTCCTGAACTTCGTCAATACTGCCGACGACTTCTGGGACTACAATGGCAGGTAGGTGATGAGTGAATGACCTGGCCAGTTAATCTAATTAGAACATTCAATTTTCGTTGGTATAGATGGGAATAGCTATTCTGATTTGGACGTTACGAAGCGCAGCTGAGAAAATTCAAGGGCGATATTTGCACAGTTGTATGTCCGTGTAAAGTATCTTGTTATTGTACCAATCCCTAAAGTTAATTAATTATATTTTGCAATAATAAGGAGGGGAAAAGGCGTCCAACGACCAAAAGGTGAAGCTGAAAGCAATCCCCTTTGTAAGATGGGGAAACTGTAAATTTGTAAAATTTCTGCAAAAAATAGCAAAATGTTGCAACACTACATGGAAAATAAGGAAATTTCTGAAATTTGCAAAATGCCGCTAATTTTACACTGATGCGTATTACTATTTGGGCAAACTGCCGAATCAGCTACAATCCATTAATATAATATACTGTACAGTGTACATCATTTACAGTTAACTGTTACCTTTACAACATAGTTATGCATAAACTCACCTAACACAAAACAGGGAGAGCCGGGACGGGGAATAAGACACGTACAGTAGGGTAGCTAATGACTCATGACCTCCGGGCGCTCGCCGAGTTGCAGACCAATATTTCAAACATGACGGCAGGTAATCACCAATATTCTCACGTATGTCAATATGTGTTACATAGTGTCTACCCAAATAATGTTCCTCCATAAAGTTACTAGATACACATCAAAGACAAAAAATAAAGAATACATAATAACTGGTGAATATTTACGACCAAGCTGACGTGTAACAATGGTGCCACGTCTTCCAGACAGGTGACATATACCGTACAGTCCTGCCATACAAAAAAATATACAGACCACATCTTCCGCTGACGTTTTCAATTATAGATAATAATTGCTTATGACCTTAGGGGTTTAGTCATAACTAGTGATTACCCTCAGTTAATTTCCATTATCTTCACGCAGGTCACCAGGTCAGGTGAAATTTCAGTCTTTAAAAAAGCCAGAAAATTAAATTAAGTGTAATAAAATACAATGAATCACACAAGGAATAAACACAGTTAACATAAATCATACAAAATAAGCACAAATAATTATCAAACCCTCTCGACAAATTGGCAGTCGGTGTAACCACACCCCTTGGAGGTTTTTAAGTCGTCAGTAACACCCTGGATTTTTCTTTCAGGTTTGTGGTGGTAGGGACGTCGAGGGAACAGCTGCAGAAGTTGGCACAGTCAAACAAGGGGATAAAGACGGAACACTTGGTCGGACTGATCAAGGTAAAGGACAGGTGTTCTTTTCCTGATCCTGATACGTGACATTATTTTGTTTACACACACACACACACACACATTGTGTGTGGCAAGCAGTGGTCTGGTAAGCCACGTGCCAGTGCCCAGTAATCAATATTCCAATGCCAGACTTATAATTTCGTCCTTCACAGTCGTCGCGTGCTGGGGACTGGACTATGTATACCAACAGCCTCTACGGGAGCACTAGCGTTCTGCGTCGAGTCGCCAGCTGGAGGAGGACGGGCACCTTGTCCACCTCCCTCAACCTTTTCCCCTCAGACAAGCTCACTAATCTCCAGGGCGCCAAACTCAAGGTGACTTTCCTTGGTGACTCTATTGTCTGTTTGTGCTGCTTGGTGACTCTCCTTGCTGTTTATGTTACTTTACTGCCTGGTGACTGACTACCTTTGCTGTTTGTGATTTTCTATGGCTCGTGAATCTACTTGTTGTTTGTGACGGTTTATTGCTTGGTAACTCTTTCTGCAATTCCCCTTCCAAATGTATGCGGTACATTTTTTCTACTGTAATGAAAATTTGCATATTGCTTGTTGCGTGACCTCCTGCGGTGTAACTCTCCTGACTGCTGGTGATTAAGTGTTAAACTCCTAGATGACTGTCTTCGTCACTTGACTGTCCTTCTCTGCATTATGAAATACCTTATCCTATAGTAACTCATTGTAGAGTGAGTTTAATTATTACTCGGACACTCCTTAATGTATGCTGTGTCTACTGTTTGATCACTAGTGTCTGCATTATGACTCTCTGTTCCACATTGATTCTGTTTAGTAATCTGTGACTTTCGTTCTCCCAGTTTACTCCAGTTGTTCACTGACTCATCCACTCAGCTGTCACGCTACTCATGCTGACGTAATGTATCATTCATGGTTTTTTTTTTCACTTAGAAATCTATAAGTTACCTAAACGTACATAAGCGCATGTAATGAGTCACGTATCTTATAATAAACATTCATGGATTGAAAGTTTTCCCCATTGGCCTGTATGTTCTTGGATGTGTATTTGCGTTATGGTCATTTAATTCTTCAGGTAGTGTACAATGTCTTATCGTGTCTTGTGTTTGAGACCATTATAATCTAACTTGTATGAATATTTATGGTTATTTGGTGTCGGTTAGCTGAGACACGAGAATTTGTGTGGTAATTCTGGTGATTGTAATTGAATTTTCCACGTTATGTAAGACTTTTTGGTTTGTTTATGTTCAATCTCTTGTGATTTTTTTCTCTAACTGATTGGGTTTGTATTCGTTGTCTTGGTAACCAGTATATATTATTACCATCAGTTTAAAGAGAACGATCTGTTTGCATTTGTTTTCCTCTTATAGGTTAGTATTGATCTTGTTCCCACTAGTACTGTAGGTGGACTGTTCCATTGGTCTATCACTCTCTTCTGTAACTACTGTGCATGAGCTATTACTCAGCCTGCACCTATGATCCCTTATTTGTTGATTATTTGTCAAGTTTAGCGATGGGTCGTGGTTTATGTTTTATTTATCTTATTTAGAATTATAATTGTCTCTAACAAATCTGTCTCGTTTGTCTTGTTTGGAGAGGACTCATTCTCAGTCTTTATTCTATCGATTCTATTTGGATATTCAGGATGTTTTATGTTAGTAATTGTTTCCGTCGCCCTTTGTTCCACCACTCTGTCCTGTTTTGTTACGTCTTTCTGTATATTCTTCCCCATGCTTAAATATGGTAGTCCAGATGGGGACGCACGTGGGAATATGTACTGTTGAACTGAGGCATCATTTTCATGTCCTTGTTTTCAAAATTATGATTTATATTTCCTAGAGGTTGGTTGGTCCTTTGCATTGTTAGATCTACTTGTTATGCTACACTCAGTGATTACGTCTTTACTTTATGAGAGAGTATTTGTTGGGTGAGGTCTTTGTGCATCGTTATGTACCCGATTATGTTATCTTGTGCTGTTTCTGGAACCTTTAATGGTACTTTAACGTTAATGTTTCCTGTACCTGTATTTGTGACTGCACATTTGTACGTAACTATATTATTATGCTAGGTGTCGACGTTCGAGTGGGAGCCCAGCGTGCTGTACTACCGTGGACCGGATGAGGAGGTGCAGTTCCTCTATGGGATAGACATAGAGGTGGTCAACGCCCTCTCCAGGGTCCTAAACTTTACTGTGGTCTTCGAGGAACCACCCCCAGGTGAGCTTCTTTCTCTCCCCCGTTTTCCTGTGCAACTACTATATCTTTAAGGTAATTAAGTTTACAGTGAGAGTTACTACTAAAAACATAAACATTTTCTTTGATAGGTGAATTCTGGGGGGTCATGAACGAAAACGAAACATGGTCTGGTATGATGGGGAGACTATCCAGAAATGAAGCGGACATCGGTGTGGCCAACTTATTCTTAACACTAGGTCGACTAGGGGCAGTGGACTACAGTGCACCCTATGATGCAGAGGTTGGTGATACATACATCTTGTCTTATGATATAAGCTTACTATTTAACGAAACCAAGGACACCAGCTTTTAGTACTGCCATGGCCAGGGGCACCAGCTTACAATTTAACGGGCGAGTGGTACAAGCTTATTATCTGACGGGTTCAGGAGTATAAATCTGCCATCTCATAAGACCAATGACATCAGATTGCTGTTTTACGAGGACATTTGTATAATCTTACTATCTTATGAGGTCCAGGGCATAGATTTAGTATCGTATGGGGTCAGGAACAACAGCTTCTAATCTTACAACGAGTCATACAGTGAATTCATACACACAAGTACAGGATTAAAAATTTCCTTAGATGTTAACGGAAATTACGTGTTACCCTAAAAAGCTATAGTACCGATGGAATACACTTAATACCTTCTAAAGATATAAATGAATCATTCCCACCAGTTTCGAACTTTCCTGTACTTGTGAAGATTTTTGCTGAAATAACCAAGCATATTAATTCCTTGCAAGCATTGGTAGGGAGGGGTGAAGCATATGAGGTGGATTCATGTTTGAAAGATTATCTCCGGTTTGTGTCCAGCCAAGAAAAATATAACTTCAACTTATAAAGGAATAAAAGAATATATTAATTTATCTAACTATAGTATATTCAGCACTAATGTCAAACAATTAAAAAGTAGTGCTGGCCAGATTTAGTCATGAATTCATATGTCCATTTTGGTAGGGACATCGTTACTGAGAAGCCACCCCAACCCCCCGGAGATCCTCATTGGATATAAGCCTATTATGTCTTTATGGGTTAGCCTTGTTCGAATCGGCTTGCTGTTTCTCAGAGTTTGTATACCTGCACAGCACATTGCATATCTGCACTGCTAATTCTATTTTTCAATTTCTATGACAGTTTTACTGATATAAATAGATTTATCTACTAATAAAGCGAAGGTATTGATGAAATCCCAGCCAGATTAACTACTCGACATAGTTGCTACCACCTCTCCTGCTACCGTTATCCTAACTATACCATCCTCACGGACCTTACTTTCTCATGGTTGCAGGTAAGTTGCTTCATGGTGCGGAGTGACCCCCCCGCCCCTCGCTGGCTCTCCCTTGCTCTGCCCTTCGAGTGGGTGACCTGGATGACGCTGTTGGTGGGACTCGTGGTCACAGGCCTCCTCCTCTTTTGCTTGGCCTCCCTTAGCGCCAGATGGTACAGTGCATTGTAACGCCTCTCCTTCCTTCACACATACAACTGTCCTCTCCATTTCCTTTCCTTGTTACTCTTAGCTCCCCTAATCGCCCAGGTTTTCTTATTTTAAAAGTAGTAAATTTTTCTCGGCAGAATTCTCCTTCTAAAAAGATATAACCACATATCATAACCGAGGAATGTGTATTCAACAACTGCTATGGATATAATCACATCATTGACTATATAACCACGAAACATAAGCATTACGACGTTCTGTGTTCATAAACATATTTTACTCACCCTAAATCAGCGGTGGGGAGGTGAGGAGCTTACAGTCGCTGCTGGGCTGCTATTTCTATGCTTTCGGTCTGCACTTCCGTGAGCCCCAGTTGGTGGCGCCTTGGCGATACAACACTCGCATCTTCGTCAGCTTCCTGTGGCTCTACACCATCATCATCACCACTGCCTATTGCTCCAACCTTACTGCCTTCCTCACCGTCACACGCCGTCCTCAGGGCATGGACTCTATCAGGGATCTCTACGACTCAGGTGCAGAGGTCTCCGGGCTCGGGGGTTTCTTTAAGGGCGCCCTGGCCTCTGCCGTTGACCCTTACCTGCAGGTAGGCAACTCATTAGCCATAGGTGTTATGTCCGCTTGTGTGGGATTCAGGAAGGACTAATTTTGCATTCCTGTGACGTTTGTGTTTTGAATTTATTTGTATCTCATCTAGCAAGATAACAATGGTATGCCAACTAGTACTTCAACCCCGGCAAATTATTTTACAGAACAGACAGTAGGAAGTAAATCTCTCAGAGCGTATGTACCTGTACTACAAGTTACCTCACGAAGTCGCTGCAAAAGAACATAGCAAACCTTTAATACACACTCAGACCGTCTCGTCCGGTGCAATGTAGATGCTCCGGTACAAACCTCTGGCATCCTAACCCGTGCCTGGGAAGGTGGGTGTCAGTTTATTTCACACATATCACGCCACACAAACATACATAACCTGCATCACCACTCACACTACTCATTATCCAAGACCACACATTTCTACAGTCGCCACTTCATATAACCCAACTGACATATCAATAGCCTCTCTCCTTACCTCCCTCTAGCAACAGGACCTGACCCCATCTGAGTGGGTTGCTTTATCCTTCCCACAGAGTTTGGCGGAGAGGTTTGTGGCGTACCAGGAGCTAGATGTGGTATGGCCGAAGCTGAGGGGGGGACGTGCAGCCTACCTCCACAACCGCCAGTTTCTGGAGTTTGTCATCACCACACAGTTCACCAGTCAGGGAGGCACTAGTATGAGGATCATGAAGGTGAGGCACTACACAGTTCACTATTTAGGTTCCTTGTTTGAAATTTCACCCATTCCACCAGTCAGTGGGTCACCGGAAAGCGTCAATATATTCACCAATCACGGGTGTCTCCAGTGTAAGGGTAGTGAAAAGTGAGATAATCACCAAATTGAATGACCCAGAAAGAACACCTGAAAGTAGTATAGTTTGTCTCCGACTTCAAATAGTTTTATATTTAAGTAGGGGATGTATACATCACTGAATTACATTAATTTCCTTCTTTAAAATAAGTGCAAGTGAAATTAAGCTTAAAATTTATCCAAGTCAGGAAAGTAACAAGGGGGGGGGAGACAAGTATTCCGGGAGACTGACTGAGTGTTTGGCCTCTGCAGGAATGCTTCGCACCATACAACATTGCTATGGCCCTGCAGCGCCACTCTCCCCTCAAGACCAAATTCGACCGAGTCATCAGCTGGATGATAGAGAGTGGCCTTGTCCGTCACTGGTTTCTCGAATCTCTACGGCTCTCTAGAAAGGTGAGCTGTGGCAGGAGTTGGCGAGCAGTAAGACACGATTAGTTCACTGGAGTTTAACGAAGGATTAACAGGTAAGAGCACGGGGTAGACGTGTGCTCTGTAAATGCCGACTGGTAGCACTGCTGGCCGGGTGAACAGTCACACCTACCGATGTTGATATGTTTACTACCCTGCCGGTAGTTTGGGTGCGCGGTAGTTTGCCAGGGTTGAACAATATGACACTACAAAGTAATATAAACAACAATACATATAATATATATACAAACACAAATACCTATCTAACTGATACAATATACGTAGGCTATATACATATACAGCAATACACCTAGCTAACTGAACTCTCTAAGCTGTATGCTCTTCTGCTTCTTCTACTATTAGTATTACAGCAACTACTACACTTCATCCATGGTTCGTATTAGACTACTTTCCTATCAATGCTGCAGGGAGTGCCTCAAGGTTAAGCTCTTGCCTCATTCCTCCCCGTACTCTATAGTGATAACTTTCTCTACTTCCCTTCCAGCAGCAAACAGCCTTTTGCTGTTGACATTTATCTACGTGAGAGTCTAGTGTCAATGCTCAAGTCTCTTATTATGTCGCTTAAATACTACACTGCACTGAGCAAAAATATTTTTCTTTTCTATTACAGACCCGAGAAAAGAAAACCAGTACAAAGGCAGACTCATTTAGGAATGGAAAAGAAAGAACCAATGACGGGTTGAGTGAGTCTGGGAGTGACGTGATCCCTCTGAGCATCGATCACATGCAAGGAGTGTTCTTCATTTTGATAATCGGCCAACTGCTCTCTTTAGTTGTTTTCTTTATAGAACGTTGCTGTAAGAAATCCTACTATAAAGACTCACCCTGAACGTCCACCTTGAAGGTTCCCCAGCAATAATTCATAAGGATGAGTCAATGATTCATTTTACAGATTATGATAGAAATGCTAAAACTAAAATTATTTACGAATATGAGTATGTGTGGATATAAGATCACTAGTCATGCTGTAATAGAGGCGGTGCACAACAACAGAAAAGTGAGAGCCACAAGCCAGTGGTGCCTCTGTGAGTTACGGAAAATGTCTCTGTAAGTCGTGGAAATAGGATTCGTTATTGTTACTACAACCACAGGGCTGTGTACTGAAACAACAGTAAAGTTGAAGTAGTGTTTGTATGTTGCACCTGTAGTGGCTGAGGTAATTATCTGCTGGAGTTGATTATATTTTGTGTTCCAAGTGCCATAATTAGATGAAGAATTCACCCAACTAACTGTAATTCTATTCTCCCAAGATGTTAATATTGTATTGATTCAACTTATTAAAAGTTCTCCAATAAATGTAATACACTGAAGAGAGAAGGACTGAGGAGGGCACGAAGGCCACTCCTTCAATCTCCGCTGTATAAGAGACAGTCATCCTCTATTGTAGATCTACCAAGCAACAAACATTTCATTCTCACCGAATTATCTCTCTCTCTCTTGGTATACCCTGTTACCATTTACAAAGCTACTGGATGTCCCCTTCGATCATGTAAAATAAACTTGTGAATCGCACCAGTATTGCTCCTTTTCTTTGATAGGTGTGCAGTGGTTGTGGTGACCAATCCTGTGGTTAGCGATGTTGTTTGCGTAACGGTGTTGTTGACTCTACACCGTCCATGGAGTCAGGGAAATCATGCTCCCTTCAATTGTATATTTACTTGTTCTTTATTTTATATATCAAAGTAAATGCTATAAACATATTTACCAGTAAATTTTCATATGGTAGTGATCAATACAAATCCTTTGAGAGTGAAAAATATTTACCAGTCATGGGAGCTAATAGGAAGACTTTTTCATGAGGAAGCTGGAGAAAGTGTAGAGAAAGTAACACCCAGAGTATGTCACGGTTGAAGACTAATTCAGAGAAAGGAGGATTCAGAAGATACACGGAGAGAAAAATGGAAGAGAAAAGAATGGTTTTTAATATACAATAACTTAAGGGAACAATTATGAGTATAATTATCAAATAATTATTGCATAATGAATATATTTTGGTCGTTTAATTTAAAAAACAATAAAAATCAGAAAATTATTACGGACAAGTACTAAAAAGTGTTAAGAGAAATCCCGAAAAAAAAATGATAAAACGGAGCTTATGATACAATTTCTTACTAATTTGGATGAAAATAAATACTTAATAAAACCCGAATCTAATTAACGAAAACGAATACACAATTGTAAAATAGTTTTGTAGAGTAGAGGTGATAACATGTCAGGACGAGCTTGTGAGGAAATAACACCAGAGGAACAGGAAGGGAAGTGGCAAGCGTACTCAAGGAACAGTGGAAAAAGTTGTCCCTCGGTAAAGGATCCACCACACAACTGTTGATGTAATGATCTTAAGACGAGGAACGTAAGAACTCTGAGGAGATCTGTTGTACAATGGATATAATAGAGACACAATTGACTGAACTTGACTCCAGGTACGAAAACAAAAAAGATCATCATGTTGCAAGAGCCGAAGAGCGTTACACTAAGGTCCATTTTACAGGCCAGAAATTGTTTCTCGAAGATTATACATCAGGGTATGATTAGGGTAGGAGGAAATGGCATGCTTAAATTTGACTTGTCGTGGCTGCAACAACACCAAGACAACGATGAAAGAAGTTAACAAATCTCAAGGACTGTCACAACAAAGAACACTTAGTCGTTTGTGAAAAAAAAATATGTGTACAAGGTAACACGTTAACCTTGAGTTATATGAATGAAGTTAAACATGAAAAGTATATGAATAATATATATTGAAGTCGGATTATCGGATTTATAAACCAGATGAACAACTAAAATTTAAGATATATATTGAATAACTAAGTAAGTGACAAAATACATGAACAGAATCAAAAATACAATTTGTTTTTAACACAATTACAGAATCCAGAGACAATGTATTGCCTTGTATTTCGTGTCCTACACCGCTGCACATCTGGCCTTGTGGCTGCTCGAGGAAACATAACTTACAAAACCTTGAAACACCTGTACTAGTAGCTACTTACCCTGAACAAACACCTGTATCAGTAGCTACTTACCCTGAACAAACACCTGTACCAATAGCTACTTACCCTGAACAAACACCTGTATCAGTAGCTACTTACCCTGAACAAACACCTGTACCAATAGCTACTTACCCTGAACAAACACCTGTACCAGTAGCTACTTACCCTGAACAAACACCTGTACCAATAGCTACTTACCCTGAACAAACACCTGTACCAGTAGCTACTTACCCTGAACAAACACCTGTATCAGTAGCTACTTACCCTGAACAAACACCTGTACCAGTAGCTACTTACCCTGAACAAACACCTATACCAGTAGCTACTTACCCTGAACAAACACCTGTACCAGTAGCTACTTACCCTGAACAAACACCTTTATCAGTAGCTACTTACCCTGAACAAACACCTGTACCAGTAGCTACTTACCCTGAACAAACACCTTTATCAGTAGCTACTTACCCTGAACAAACACCTATACCAGTAGCTACTTACCCTGGACAAACACAACTGTAATAGGAGCCACACACTAGCATCCCTTTTATCTAAATACAAACACTGAAACCATAGTCACCTGCCCGGTATACAAGTATCCTACCCAGTACCCAGGTATCTGGCTTCGTACCCTAATGACTTATCTAAAGTACCCCAGTAATGTATCCGGGACCCCAGTAACCGGCCCGGACCCTCAGTTACCGGCCCTGTATCCCAGTAATCGACCTTACATCCCACTCTGTATCCCCCATAATTAGCCCGGTACCCTACCCTGTACCCCAGTAACCAGCCCAGTACCCCATCCTGTACCCCAGTAACCGGCCCAGTACCCTACCCTGTATCCCAATAACCGGCCCGGTACCCCACCCTGTATCCCAATAACTGGCCCGGTACCCTACCCTGTACCCCAGTAACCAGCCCGGTACCCCAGTAACAGGCCAGGTACCCCACTAACCTGTACCCCAGTAACCAGCCCGGTACCCCAGTAACAGGCCAGGTACCTCACTAACCTGTACCTCTGGCAACTGGAAAGAAGACGTCCTTGAGGATTCACTGGCTGATATTTACAATCTTCCCAGACCTTAAGACTCTCACTCTCACTCACTCACTCACTCACTCACTGTCTCTCACTCTCCCACTCACCTTTTCACTCACCCTCATTCACACACTGTAACTTTCTATCACTCTTGCACTCACTCACTTACTGGATCAATTACTGACTGACTGACTGACTCACTCACTCACTCACTCACTCACTCACTTTCAAGAACACTCTCACTCATTTCTCAATCCCCCACACACATACTACTCTCATCACACACACACACACACATACACACACACACATACATACACACATACATACACAACCATTCATTCACACACACAAAACCATTTACACACACACACACACACGCAAAACCATTCATTCACACCACTCACTCACTCATTCTCTCTCACGCACACACTCACTCGTCCCTCCCCTCCCACACACACACCCTTAACTTCAGTCGCCTTAAACATGCATTTTTGTGTGTGGAATATAACCGAGGTAATTACGGGTTACTGATGAAGAACTTTACACCTACAGGAATGATTTCATTAGTAATGTCATACGTTAATAGATGAATTATAGAGGAATTTCATGTCAGGAGATAAAGAAGATTTTTATAGGTGATGAGATTAATTAAGAGACAAATAAGGAATCGGATCAGGTAACTAGGTAATTAGTCTATGTACCGATTAATTAATGAACAAAGATAGGAATAGATTAATAAATTTACAGGTGAGTAAATGTGTTAACACAATAGAAAAAAATCGATATTTTCGAGAGTAAACACTTACTGAAAAACAAGTATTTAAACAGGTAAGAATGATGAGCTAGAGACAATTATTAATATATTTTGTCATGGAGAGATTGCCAGGTTCCTGAAGCACCAAGTTCCTCCGCTAGATGGCGTCTGTGCCAGGGAGTCGATAACTTTATAAAAATCGTGGTAAGTCAACAGATCATCTGACTGAAACGAGATTTTTTAGGAGAATTAGTCCCCGTTTGACTGCTTAAGGTTATGTTGCTGCTAACTGTACCACATCAGTATTATTTGAGATTTATTTGGTCATCAGATAATAAGAACAACTAGATGAGAAAAATCACTATTCCAGTAGGCCTATTTCTCCTGGAGGCAGACACTGGCATAACGACGGACGCAGAAAATCATATTTTTCATTTTCGATGGTGAAGATAGAATGACTCTTCCCGCTAAATGCCCGAGGCACTAATTTCTTTTGTCTAGTTCACTCGGTGTTGATAATGTACTACTGCTCTTTAATATGAAGATCTTTTCTAGGCTAGTACATTCACTAGTCATCAACATTGAATCTAGATTGATCTCTCTAGTTCAGTCGGGGATTAACCTTTTAATCTTGGATCGTTGGGGTGGCCACAGCGAGTCAGTCCACTACCCAGCCTCACGAACGCATTTATTCAAGTATACAAATCGATAAATAAGGATATACTTAATTAATATATCACAACTAAATTAATAAAGGCATTATTAATTTTTCTTCATTTTGAGACTTCCTTAAATTGTTAAAGCATTCGGCAGCTTAAAAAAAGGAAAGAGTAATGTATACAGTAGCAAAAATATAATATAGGAAAAGATAAAATGGCAATTGTGAAACTGAGGTGTACAGTGTAGTATGTTCCTTTAATCCATCTTACATCACATCTGATCTCTTTAATATATCAAGACAGGTATCGTATATCTGTCTGCAGCATGTGTCTGTGTTGTCACTCGGCAGAAGCTTCATTAAGACCGGTTGAAAATATCATCACAAGTACAGTACATATTCAGGTTTTACAGGATAAAGCATATTTCTATTTACTGAATTTCTTTGTTCTTTGATTTATATATTCTAAGTGGAAACCTTGTATCGTTTATGTCAAGTATCATCAACCTTGACTGAAAAATTAAGGAAGTGCACAATATTTAGCTTTGTCACAGGAAACTACTTTTTGCTACGTTTATTTGAAAATTTTCTGTTAAGTTAAATATGTAGCAAAAAATAAAATAATAATACACAAATTTACGACTTCATTGTGTAGTGTGACGTCTCTCGGCAGATGGTGTGAATCATGTTACCACGACCACGAGTCACGTTGTCCCCACGACCAGCCCTAGATAGTTACTGCTCAACAGACCTCTCTCAAGGTTCTTAGATGATGTTAATATTGTGTCATACAGGATGGTAGTTCTAAAGGCGTCTCTCTAATGGCTCTGGCACTGTGAATATTATGGTAAACAAAATGATAGTTCTCAAGGTCGTCAGTCACAATAGCAGAGGCGGGAGAGAGACACAAGGTGAGAAGGTCATATTCTTGACCCTCACCAAGATGTTTCTGTATTTTGCATGGCTAAAGGAACAAAGGCATAAAGTCAGTGAGACCTTTATTATGGCTGACTGAACACGGGAATGATTTATCCATAATCAACTCTCATAGCTGAGTATGTAAAGGTAAACCGTCACTAAAGTCCCTGCAATGGCTATGATGTACACAGGTATGACATCACCATGACACCTGTTATAGCTCAATGAACACATATTGTATATGACGTCACCAAGACACCTGTTGTAACTGAAGGAACACAGGTATGACGCCCTTCAGACTTCTCCTTTGGTTGAGTGAACACAGGTTTACATCACCAAAACACTTGCTATAACTGAGTGAACACAGGTATGACGTCCTTCACGCCCCTGCTGTACACTCCTCTACTCCCCCAGCAGCGCGGATCACAGATGTACCAGGAAAAAGTGTTGATGACGTTCAGCCGGAGGCAACCCGGCCTTTCCTGATCCTCTCGGCGAGTGTAAACATTTATATCATCACTGTGGATTGTTTACTTATTAATGAATATCTTCATTTAGTGTTTTTGTTAAGTTTATATTCACAATCGTCCCTATATAAAGAAAAGTTTGAATTTAGGAATAAAAAAAATAAATACATAGAAAATATCCTTGTTTCGCAATTATACTTATTAATTGTGAAACAAAAAAAAAGGCTTTTCAAATACAATAATTTTTAATTACAAGTTAAATCTTCCAACAGTAGCAATTCATCTTTACGTAAGGTACACACAGATTCTCAACAACTCGTAAGCTAAATTTATCCCGTTACTGAGGACAGAGATAAATGCCTCAAGTTACCGTTGTCATAACACAATACAGACGTTATGTTGACGGTCATCTTTGTGACGTCGCATCAAATGAATCAAAAACATTCTCGTACATCCATCTTAGTGTTGAACCTTCGAGAATCTATCCTTACGTCGTAGTATAAGTGAGTTAGTTAGTTGTGTTCTTGTATTATTCAGTTACGGGAAAAATTCAACACAGTTTACAGTAAATCTTAGAGAAACTTCAGTTATCCCCTGACCCCGTTTTCTTGCGACCTCTTTCACGCTTCATTGGCACCGTAGGGTCATAGGGGAAGGATGAAAAGGGAGGGAAGAATGGAGAGGGAGGGAAGAGGATAGAAAAGGGGGGAGGGATGGTTGGGGGAAGGGAATGAATGGAGGGGAAGATATGGGTAAATGGGAAGGGAACTGGAGGTGAAGGGGAGGATGGAGGGTGAAGGGAAGGCTAGAAAGGAGAAGGATGAAGGGATAAAGGAGTATTAAGAGGGAAGTGAAGGATAAAAGAGAAGGGGAGGGAAGGATGCAAGGTGGGTGGAATGGTGTTAGTGATTTTAGGAAACTATTATCTATTGAGAAACCTAATTTTTTTTTTAGTCCCCATTTTCGGAAAATGTACTGGAAGACGAATAAGAAGAAAGGATACTACTACTACTACTGCTACTACTACTACTACTTCCAGCCTCCTCCAATAGCCACACCTTCGCCACCATTTAATTACCTTAATATTAAATATCCTAATACATAATAAGCTATCCTATCTGTGTTAAATTAGTTGAGCCGCAGATCTATGCGGCATACAGTGACAGTAGCCTCATAGTCAATATCTGCAGCAGTTGTCGGAGTTGGGGCAGAAGCTCTCGTTCCCCTGAGGCAAAGCAAAGCCGACCGAAGGAGAGAGAACTACTACTACTCCTACTTTTTTTTCTACTACTACTACTACTACTACTACTACAACGTGGCCTCCATCCTCCCCCAATAGCCACACCTTCGCCGCCATTTTATTACCTTAAAATTAAATATGCTAATACATAAGTAGCTATCCTAGCTGTGTTGAGTTAGTTGAGCCGCCGATCTATGCGGCATTCAGTGACTTTTGCCTCGAAGTCAATATCTGCAACTGTTATCAGCTTTGGGACCGATGCTCTCGTACCCTGAGTCAGAGCAAAGCAGACCTAAGGAGAGAGAAGGACAGTCGACATCTCATCCAGGCTGTAACATAGCTTCTGGGCTGCTGCTTCTGTTAGGGTAGCACCTCCGCGAGTCTGGCATAGAAGCATCTTGCACTTGGTCCCATCCCACCTGAGGTTGTGAACACCAGAGGAGTGA